CGCACATTCCCCAAAGTGCACACGCACATTCCCCAAAGTGCACACGCACATTCCCCAAGGTGCACACGCACATTCCCCAAGGTGCACACGCACATTCCCCAAAGTGCACACGCACATTCCCCAAGGTGCACACGCACATTCCCCAAAGTGCACACGCACATTCCCCAAAGTGCACACGCACATTCCCCAAAGTGCACACGCACATTCCCCATGGTGCACGCGCACATTCCCCAAGGTGCACACGCACATTCCCCAAAGTGCACACGCACATTCCCCAAAGTGCACACGCACATTCCCCAAGGTGCACACGCACATTCCCCAAAGTGCACACGCACATTCCCCAAAGTGCACACGCACATTCCCCAAAGTGCACACGCACATTCCCCAAAGTGCACACGCACATTCCCCAAGGTGCACACGCACATTCCCCAAAGTGCACACGCACATTCCCCAAAGTGCACACGCACATTCCCCATGGTGCACACGCACATTCCCCAAAGTGCACACGCACATTCCCCATGGTGCACGCGCACATTCCCCAAGGTGCACACGCACATTCCCCAAAGTGCACACGCACATTCCCCAAAGTGCACACGCACATTCCCCAAGGTGCACACGCACATTCCCCAAAGTGCACACGCACATTCCCCAAAGTGCACACGCACATTCCCCAAGGTGCACACGCACATTCCCCAAAGTGCACACGCACATTCCCCAAAGTGCACACGCACATTCTCCAAAGTGCACACGCACATTCTCCAAAGTGCACACGCACATTCCCCAAGGTGCACACGCACATTCCCCAAAGTGCACACGCACATTCCCCAAAGTGCACACGCACATTCTCCAAAGTGCACACGCACATTCTCCAAAGTGCACACGCACATTCCCCAAGGTGCACACGCACATTCCCCAAAGTGCACACGCACATTCCCCAAGGTGCACACGCACATTCCCCAAAGTGCACACGCACATTCCCCAAGGTGCACATGCACATTCCCCAAAGTGCACACGCACATTCTCCAAAGTGCACACGCACATTCCCCAAGGTGCACACGCACATTCCCCATGGTGCACACGCACATTCCCCAAAGACGAGGATCCCCCGTATAATCTTTGCCATACTGTTGGTGGCAAGTGCTGTTAGCGAGCACCTATGAAGGCCAGAACGGCATACGAGGTGATGGGTAGCCAGCACTACGCCTTTGTCTCCCCAGTGGCGATGTTTACACACCGCAGCAGGTATTAATTTGAGGCTGAATCGACCTAGGGGAGGCCCAAGACCGGTTCAGATAATCGTCACCGGTGTTGGCCTTGAGCGGAAATCGAACTCGAGTCGCCAAGTTCGGAGCGCAGTGCGCTCACCGCTACAGCACCGCTCTCACACACAGACGCACACACGTACACACACACACGTACACACACGTACACACACGTACACACACACAAAAGCATAATTGCCCCCCACCACTACCCGTGGTTGTGGGTGAGTGAGCGGGCGAGCGAGCCGGTGGGGGGGACGAGGTGCAGGCTAAAGTAACTGCTTGCAGAGATCGTTAATCAAAGCGCTCACATCCTCAAAGCGCCGGTTATCATTGTGATGTGGTTAAGGTTGAACGTTCATTACGTGCGCGTGTGCGTGCCTACGTGCTCGCGTGTGTGTGTCCTTGCATGCCTAACCCTGCGCGTGAGTGTGCGTGTGTGTGTGCATGCGTGTGTGTGCGTGTGTGTGCGTGTGTGTACGTGTGTGCGTGCGTGTGTGTGCGTGTGTGTGTATGTGTGTGCGTGTGTGCCTATGTCCCCGGGAGCGGTAGTGTAGTGGTTAGCGCTACGCTGCGCTACGAACCTGGCGACCCGAGTTCGATTGCCGCTCACGGCCAACACCCAGTATCTGAACCGGTCCTGGGCCTCCCCTAGGTCGACTCAGCCTCGAATGAGTACCTGGTGCGATGTGTAAACATCGCCACTGGGGAGACAAAGGCGGCCGGGCGTGGTGTTGGCCACTCACCCCATCGTGTGCCGTGCCGGCACTTCATAGGTCCTACTCGCTAACAGCACTTGCCCCAACAGTCTGTTAAGGCTATACGGGGGGGGGGGGGCTCTTTGTCTTTGTTATTTGTTCTGTATGTCTCTATATGTATGCGTGTGTGTCCTGCACGTCAACATCCGTCCATTACAAGAATAACCACCGAATCACCCTCTGATTTACCCAACAAAAGCCCCGTCGGTGAGTCTCAAGACCCCTCCTCAGGAGGGCTCCCCGCCTTTGCGATGTTTGCCACCAAACGCCACGCTACCGTGAGACGGCGGAGTAAGCCGGAGAAAAACCGCTACAACCACCACCACCATCACCACTCCACGTGGCGCGAGACACGGATGCTGCGGATTGATCGCGCGTCTCGGATGGGGTGGGAGAAGATAAGAATCCATTAGGGGTCGGCATTTTCTCAGGGCACGGGATTTGAAGGTGGAGTCGTGCAAATTAAGAGAAGCACAATGAATAAAAAAAATATCGAGCCATTTTAATTCATCATCAAAATGCCCCGGGGCCTCGAGTATTATTAATCAGTCGCTCAGTCAACCAGTTCCGTCGATAATTGTTACGGCCACGGTCGCGCAAGATGAGAGGCGACAGTCCTACAAGGGGACACGCGTGCGGGAGAGAGACACGGAGAGACTGAAAGAGAGAGAAAGAGACGGAGAGAGACACACACATAGAGAACGAGACAGAGAGAGAGAACGATGTGAAGATAAACAAAAATATTCGTCTCTCCGTCCGTAATTCTGTCGTCTTTGCCGTTCCGTTTCATTTAACCGGGAGATTGAAGAAGCCCCAAACCGGTCCAGACACGGCACGCAAACGGCGCTGCCTCTTCCACAAGCCCCCCCACCCCTAGCCCCCCCCATCCCCCTACCCCCCCCATCCCCCTACCCCCCCCACCCCCCATCCCCCTACCCCCCCATCCCCCTACCCCCCCATCCCCCTACCCCCCCATCCCCCGACCCCCCCACCCCCCATCCCCCTACCCCCCCCATCCCCCGACCCCATCCCTCCAGCCCCCCAACCCCCTAGCTCACCCCGCCCCCCCATAACCCCGACCCCAACCCATCCCCCCCACCTCATCTCCCCCACCCCCCCATCCCGCCATCCCCCCCACCAGGCCCCCCACCCCCCACCCTCTAGGCCCCCCTCACCCCCACCCCTCCATCACCCCCATCCCATCCCCCCCCCCGTTACACCTCCAGACTCTCGTCCGCTCGTCTCTCCGTCCGCGGCTCTCCAGCGAGAGTGTGCAGGCGGTGCGACTGCACTGGGAGGTTGTCTCAGGCGCTAGGTTACGAATGAAGAAAGGGGGCAGTGGGGGGTCAATTTGACAGAGGTGGTGAGGAGGAGGGGCGGGGGGCTAATTCCTTGCACCAGGGACCGTGCCAACCACTCTCTCCATTCATGCCCAAAGCTGCACGCGTGATCTTTGTGTCCTTGTTGTGCGTGTGCGTGTGTGCGTACGTGTGTGTGCGTGCGTGTGTGCGTGTGCGCGTGCGTGTGCGTGCGTGTGTGTGCGTGCGTGTGCGCGTGTCTCGTAACAATGTTAATCGGTGCTCGCTGACAACGCTTGCCTCAACAAAACAATCTGCTGAAAGGCTGTGTGGGGGATCTGGGTCTTTGTATGTGGATCAGAGTCTCTCATCTGGTTCTGTGCATCATCGTATCAATTGGTGTGTGTGTGTGTATGTCAAGCAAAGGTGGGGAGCGGTGGCGCAGCGGTGAGCGCACTGCGCTACAAACACGCCGCGACAAGTTCGATTCCGGGTGCCTCCCCCTAGGTCAACTCAGCCTCAAATGAGTACCCGGTGCGATGTGCCAACATCGGGAACGCGGGCCTGGCCACGCCAACCCCATGCAAGCACAGGGCCCGGCCTGCACCGGTGCTCGCCAACAGCCCCTTGCCCCGAAGGGCTGTTTATCTAATCGGATTGATATTCACGTCAGAATCAAGGTGTTTACTGTGAGCCGCGTCTAGGCGCTTGACACCCGCTTACACAACGGTGGCACGGAACGGAATGATGGAGTTTGCAAGGGAGGGGGGGGGGCTTACAAGGTATTGAGGAACGAGTGACAGCGGAGTTGGGGGGGGGGGGCACTTGGACATCACGAAAGGGCTATAGGGGAGGGAAGGAGTGAAGGAGCCAGGGGATAGCAGACGAAGAGAATGGGCAGTGGAGAAGAGGTGAGGCTTTAAGATAGGAACGGAAGGAGGTGAAGGAGGGAGACCGCTTCATGTGCAGAAGCAGTGTTGAGTCTATGGTGCAGTGTTGAGTCTATGGTGCAGTGTTGAGTCTATGGGCAATGTTGAGTCTACGGACAGTGTTGAGTCTATGGGCAGTGTTGAGTCTATGGTGCAGTGTTGAGTCTACGGACAGTGTTGAGTCTATGGTGCAGTGTTGAGTCTATGGTGCAGTGTTGAGTCTATGGGCAATGTTGAGTCTACGGACAGTGTTGAGTCTATGGGCAGTGTTGAGTCTATGGTGCAGTGTTGAGTCTACGGGCAGTGTTGAGTCTATGGTGCAGTGTTGAGTCTATAGTGCAGTGTTGAGTCTATGGGCAATGTTGAGTCTACGGACAGTGTTGAGTCTATGGGCAGTGTTGAGTCTATGGGCAGTGTTGAGTCTATGGTGCAGTGTTGAGTCTACGGGCAGTGCTGCTCAATCTCCAGGGGGAGTTGATTCCAGTGCAGGCGTGCAAGGAGAGAGAAGGGTCGACAATGGAGATTTGGCGCAGGGAGAAGGAGGGACAGAGACAGAGGGAGACAGAGCGAGAGATGATTGGGAACGAGGAGGACGAGAGGAGGGGGCATGGGAGGAGACGATAGAGGCGAGACAGAGGCCACAGGGGTGATTGTTGTCTGTGCGTGTGCGTGCGTGTGTGCACGTGCGTGTGTGCGTGCGTGCGCGCGTGCGTGTGCGCGTGCGTGTGTGCGTGCGTGTGTGCGCGTGCGTACCGTTGCGCGTGTACTGGTAGAGCTCCTCGTAGGGCTCCACCGACACCTTGGAGTCGGGCGGCAGGCGGGGCAGGCTGCCCGAGAGGCGCGTGTCGATCACGAGGTGGCCGTGCTCGTCCATGCCGTCGAGGCGCTGCGTCACGACCACTCTCTCGCGTCCCGGCAGGAAGGTCACCTCCGAGGTTCGTACGAAGCGCCCGCCTGCGCGCGCACGCACGATAGCGCGCGTGAACGCACGTCAGCACACGCGCACACGTACGTACGCAGGCACGCATGCGCGCGTACAAAAGGCGGGGAGCCTCCCCGTATAGCCATTTGCCATCGGATTAATCACAATAAAATGTTGTATCTGACCGTACTTCACCATGCCGGTCAGCAACAAAAGTTAAAAAGTACAAACAAAAATCATCCATAAAAATAAATTGTGAATTTAAAACAAAAAAAAACACGTGAATATTCCAACACAAAAAAAAAACAGATTCATAAAATGTTTTTTTATATTTATCTATTTGTTTATTTATTTACGTTTAGCCCCCTCACCCCAACCCCCCACCCCCCAGCGCGCTCATCACCTGTGATGCTGAAGCCGTTCTGGAAGCCCGGCTGCTCGAGAGCCAGCATCCACCCCACGGCCGTGCCGAGGCTGTAGAGCGGCAGCATGGACCAGCCCAGCTCGACAGGGACCTGGCTGACGGCGGCGTACGCTCGCCCGTCGTTCACCACCACGTACGAGTGCAGGTCCGAGCCGCTCAGCTCCACTGTCTCGGACGAGGAGGCCGCGGAGGAGTCGCCCACCACCACCAGCCGTCCGCTCACCTTGCCGTTTACGCGCTGCGGTGCGCCTGATCGCGCGCGACAAAGCGGAAAGGTCCCCACCCCCCCCCCCCCCCCCGCCCCGTGTAGCCTTAGTGGACTGTTGAGGCAAGTGCTGCTTAGCGAGCACTTACGCAAGGTTCTACCGATCCCGAACCCTGGCGACGATGCCTGCTGTTGTATATATTTGGAGCCCGCGTGTTCTCTCTCTCTCCCCGTGGTGGTCCCAGCGTGGATCGTTCTCCCGGCTCCTCCGCCGGTTTTGCCCCCCTCCTCCACGATGATGATGCGGTGATGATGATGATGATGATATCAGTCACTGCGATGATGAGCCATCGTCACGTGTGGCCAGGTCGTCTCCGAACCAACTACAACAACTACAACAAGAGCTCATAGCTCAGTGGGCACTGCCTGGCGAAATAAAGCAGCTTGGTTTATTATCGTGACACCGTGGCTCCTCGTATGACGCCACGTGGCCCCGCGTGACCCTCCCACCCACCGCGCCCCCGCCAGCATGACTCCGCGTGGCCCCGCGCGCGTGACCCCTCGTGACCCCACGAGCGTGACCCCCCGCGTGACCCCGCGCGCGTGGCCCCACGTGACCCCGCGCACGTGGCCCCACGTGACCCCGCGTGCGTGGCCCCAGGTGACCCAACGTGCATGATCCCGCGTCACCCCGCGCACGTGACCCCGCGCGCGTGGCCCCACGTGACCCCGCGTGCGTGACCCCCACCTTCGGGCAGGCACAGCTTGCCGTCCCCGTAGTACCCCGTGCCACAGTGGCAGCACGGCCCCGTCGCGTGGTCGCGGCACGCGGCGTGCGGGGAGCAGCGGGGCCCCCCGCCCACGTCGCACCGCTCGGCCCCCCGCTCCGGCCCGTACACAAACACTGGGGAGGGGTGGGGGGCCAAGGGCGAGGGGAGCAGCAAGGCATTCTTAATACTGCGAGAAGGGCATTGTGGGAAGGGCAGTAGTAGGGTATTGTGAGAAGGGCATTAGTAGGGCAATGCAAAAAGGGCACTGTGAGAATGGCATTAGAAGGGAATGCAAGGAGGGCATTGTAAAGAGGGCATTGTGAGAAGGGGAATGTGAGAATAGCATTATGAGAAGGGCATTGCGAGGAGGGCATTGTGAAGAGGGCAATGCGAGGAGGGCATTGTGAGAAGGGCACTGTGAAGAGGGCGCTGTGAAGAGGGCACTGTGAAAAGGGCACTGTGAAGAGGGCACTGTGAAGAGGGCACTGTGAAGAGGGGAATGTAAAGAGGGCACTGTGAAGAGGACACTGGTAAGAGGACACTGGTAAGAGGACAATGTGAAGAGGACAATGTGAAGAGGGCACTGTGAAGCACTGTGAAGAGGGCACTGTGAAGAGGGCACTGTGAAGCACTGTGAAGAGGGCACTGTGAAGAGGGCACTGTGAAGAGGGCAATGTGAAGAGGGCACTGGTAGAGGGCAATGTGAAGAGGGCACTGTGAAGAGGGCACTGTGAAGAGGGCACTGTGAAGAGGGCACTGTGAAGAGGGCAGGTCCGGCGGGGCGCGCCTGACCGTTGGTGCCGAGGCCAGGCTCGGGCTCGTCCACGTGCAGCACCGCGCGGCCCGCGTCCTCGTGGCGCGGGGGAGGAGGGGGCACCTCCTGGAAGCGACTCCCAAGCTCCGGCTCCTGCAGCAGCAGCATCAGTAGCATCATCACCAGCATCAGTAACATCATCATCAGCATCAGCAGCAGTATCAGTAACATCATCAGCATCAGTATCATCATCAGCATCATCAGCAGCATCAGTAACATCTTCATTAGCAGCATCAGCAACATCATCATCAGCAGCAGCATCAGTAAACTGAGGAACCGGTTCAGACTGTGACTCGCCACTGATGTTAGCCGGCCAGTTGCCAGGAATCGAACCCAGGTGGCCGGACCTATAGCGTGGCGGAGTGCAGCGAGCGCTAACCACTGCGCCACCACTCACCCCGCGTGTCGCATCCACGGGTACGAAACACGTCAACAGTAAGAGAAGTAAAAGTGTTTAGAGACGGCACGTGCCAAGAGAATTCCCACTCTTTAATCTCACTCAGAGCGGAAAGTGAAACGTTAAAGATCGTATGAATAAAAAACACATTAAAAGTATAAAAAAACGTTTTGCAAAAAGCAAGAAAGTTTGATTTCCACAGTGCGCTGTCGAGTTAAAACGTTTTATTGAGATTTATCTCAGGCGGAATAAATATACGTACATGTGTGTTGTGCCGCAAATAGCCATCGCGAGCACGTGCATTCTGCAGCGTGAGAGGGCTTAAAATCTCCCGCGATATTATAATACGTCTGTTAATAATAACCGCAATTCATAACGAGCGGGCATATTCCGCGAATAGTCCACAATGTTGGATCCAGAACCCGGAGGCGGGGAATCGGAACGCTGTTACTGCTGCTGCTAGGCTCACTGGGAGCCATGGATTATTGGCGTGAGGCACTACCACTAGAGTGCAACGTATACCGATCCATAACAAATCCTTTATTATTGTGCCCTGTATCCCAATGATCTTTAACTCGAAGGCGCGGAGTCAGAACGCTACTGCTGCTACTAGGCGAGCTATGAGTAATGACTTGTTGGCGTAAGGCACTACCACGAGATTAGGAGATACGGTACAGCTATCCATAACAAATCCTTCATTATTATTATTATTGTACTCTGTATGCCAATGACCCTATATCGATGCGTGGTATATAAGTTGTAGGCCTTCCTTTAGGCTCTACATTCCACGTTGAGGTTGAACAGCTGAGCAATGGCAGCACGGGCGATGCGCTCGCTTTGTCCCTGAATTACGGTGCCATCACTCATGACTTCGCCACAGGTAAAGCGGGGAGGAAAATAATTAAATGTTGGAAGGAATGAGAGGTTAAATACACGATAGATTTTTATTAATCTTTTCTGTACGGCCCTCCGAAGCCCTTAGTTGGGTCTGCTGTGTCCTATAAATCTTAATTATTAGTCGAATGAGTGATATATATTTGAAGAATTCACTCTTCGAGTCGAACGCAATGTGAAACGTTTTACGACGGTAAAGACCAACATGAATACGTTTGATTACTTCATTCTAAAAATTATTAACCTATTTCCTCGAGATCGGCCTTGGGCGTCTCGTGGCCTCAAACTGACCCTGGCCCAGCGGCACATGGAAGGGGTGGACAAAGCGCAGGTAACGTTCATATGAAAACAAAAAGTAGCCTTTTGACAAAACAAGTTCCGGAGGCGCTAAGAGTTTCTGTTGTCATCGGCGAGGGTTCACCAGCGCCGTAACTCGCCGGGAAGGTGACGGACGGCGCCAGCGGAGACAGCAGTGGAACAGAGGTTCTGGGCAAGGCAATGAAAAACAACAAAGCCTATATTGGTCTATGGGTCTCTATGTGGGTCACTGGTGACCCACACAGAGACCCATATAGAGACCCAATGACTCACATAGAGACCCATAGAATCACAATGAGCCCCACAGACTCACATGGAGACCCATAAACTCACACAGAGACCCATTGACTAACATAGAGACCCACAGACACATAGAGACCCATGCAATAGACTCAGCAGTGATTAAACCGGGCTCTCAAGCGCAGTTAATTTATAATCTCAGCCGACTCACATAGAGACCCATATACTCACACAGAGACCCACAGACTCACATTGAACCCCACAGACTCACATGGAGACCCATAGACTCACACAGAGACCCACATACTCACATAGAGACCCATATAATAGACTCAGCCGTGATTAAACCGGGTTCTCGAGTGCAGCGAGTTGGTGGTCTCAGCCCGGCCACCACCGGTGACCGCGCACACGAAGCCTCCCGCATTGACTCTGAAGCTATGGCTGCGGGGTTTGGTCGTACATGTTATGTATATCGTTTGTTGTTGGATTTGAATCACAGTTCCTATGATCACTGTTACATTGTTTTTGTGGCTTTATTTTGGTGATTTTGAGGACTGTTTGGTCTGGCCATGTTTGTTTGTTGTAGTATAGAGTTGGCCTGATAACTTTAATCTAAATTGTCTTATGGTTGTTATTTTTTGACTTGCATCCCACTGGGATCTTTGCACACAGCGTTGAAATGCGGTGTTTTTTTTCTGGAAGACTTTTGCTGTTTTTTCCAGGATTTTTCTGTTGCGTGTAGTCACTTTAAGATGTTTCTTGTTCATGTTTTTGCTTTGTTGCGGTTGAACCCGAGTCAAGAGCCGCATGGCTCACAGGGTTATACCTAATAAATTAAAAACTGAAAGAAAAAATCCAGCGCAGGGAATGTAAAAAAAAACGCCCGGAGGGACTGCCACGCGACGATCATCGGTCGCTCTGCGCCCCCCCCCCCCGTACCCCCCCCCCCCATCGTGAGCGAAAATAAAATAAATCTGCCCAGCAATCAGTGAATTAAGACTCCTCCACACAAAAACACAAAGACCCCCCGCATAGCCTTAGGGGCAAGTGCTGTTAGCGAGTAGCACCTATGAAGGCCGGCACGGCACACGAGTGGGTGGGTGGCCAACACCACGCCCGGCCGCCTTTGTCTCCCCAGTAGCGATGTTTACCACATCGCACCAGGCACTCATTTGAGGCTCAGTCAACCTGGGGGAGTTCCAGGACCGGTTCAGATAATCGTCACTGGTGTTGACCGTGAGCTGGAATCGAACCCGGGTCGCCAGGTTCGTAGCGCAGCGTAGCGCTAACCGCTACACTACCGCTACCCTCCACACACACATACACACACACATGGACACACCGTAACCTCCGCGTCTCTATCACTGTAGATCTCGCAGCTCAATGTTCATCAGCAGCTGCCACCGTTGATGTAAGAATAAGAATAATGGGTGAGCGCACTGAGCTTGCGATCCGGGCTTCGCTGGTACGATTCCATCTCGCCGGAGCGGAGACTTTCCTGAACCCCTTATCAGTCGATGGGCAAAACCACGCGCGGTGGGGTAAAGCGTGGGTACTCCGGCACCCTTCCAACACGAACGTCTCCAAGGTGGAAGAGTAGGCCTAAGATGCCCTGTGAGGAAGGAGGGGCTCCCGGTTCGATTCCATCTCCAGGCGCGGAAGTTTGAACGAAAAGAGCCAGGGTTAAATCTCGGCTTAAAGCTTTCGTGACTGCAGGGATTCATATTCTTTGGGTCTTTCGGTAAAGTCACGTCGATAGGTTCAAAGAAAATGACGACTGCTTGTGTTGCGATCGAACCTATCTACGTGACTTTACCGAAAGACCCAAAGAATATGAGAGGCAGGACCCTTGAACCCATCCACCTGTAACCCATGCACCCAGCAGTGTGAATGGGTCCAACCGCAGCTGAGTCGGTCAGCGGTGTGGCGTGAGGTGGTGGGGTAAAGTGTAGGCAGCTCCCAACTCTCCCGTCACGTAGAGCCGACGTGGAAGAGTAGGCCTAGAATGCCCTCTGAGGATTGGCTTCCTCCAAGTGGAGGTTTCTGCCGCCCGGGCAGTCAGGGGCTAGCGGCCACTTGCGGGGGCTGCGCCTTTAGCTCCACGCATCCTTAACATCTTGTAGATGAAGACTCTTAATTAATAGTCATTAATAACGTGCGGGATAGCGGTGGGAAGCAGTAGATTAAACCGGTGGTGGGTGTGATCTCATTAAGGACAGAGAACGTTATGCAAATGAGGGTTAGTAGTCAGGCATCGCCGCATCTTCTAAGACGTCGGTCCAGCGTGGAAGATCAGACCAAGATTCATAAGAAATGTTGTTTATACTGGAGAAATCCGATGTGCTATGAAGCGCTTTTCACAGATGTCCAGTCTGGGCATGGGGTCGGAACGTTACAACAACGAGCAACACAAAAACACACCAGGAGTGCAAAGCGTAGGAATTGGCAAACAAATATCTTGAAAAAAATATATAGAAATAAAACTAAACTATGTTTTTTTTTTATGTTACCAAGTTATGTTACCAAGTTATTTTTGCCAAGCGACCTGGCCACAAACGATAGCTGAACAGATGTGTCGTATCATGTGGACATTTACAGCGGCAAAGCAATCTAAATAATCATCTCACGGGGTGGGCGAAACTGGGAGGGCGGAGTGGTGTGTGGATCTTTCTAGCCGGGGCTGCGACCTTCAGCCAACAGCCGCCGTGAAGCCGGCAGTTGCAGGGCTGCCCCTTTGCCGTCGCCACCGCTCTCGCCGCACAGCGATGCCGCGCGCCGCGGAATCTGCGACCGGCGGTCCCCGCAGCGAGGTTCGTGCCGTGCCGAATTCAATCGCCGGCTCCAAAAAAAAAAAGACCCACACAGGTCTGTGGCCACAAGCACCCCTCCCTCTGCACGTTTATCCCCCCCCCCATCTCCCACCAACCTCCCACTCGCCTCCCCCACCTCACCACCTCCCCCCATATCCCCCAATCCCCCACCTCACCACCTCCCCCACCTCCCCCACCTCACCCAATCCCCCATCTTCCCCAACCACCCCCCCACCCACCCCCTGGGGATGTCGCAGCCCCGACGTAGTGAGTGAGTGGGTGACAGTCTGCACGCCGCTGACAAAATAACGCCGTTGCATCACCGCGCGCGCGCATGGTGACGACCAGGGTGACAGCTTAATTTAGGCACCATGATGTCTCTATGTATATCCGTGGGTCTCTATGTATATCCATCGCTCTCTGTGTATCTCCAGGGGTCTATATGTATATCCATGTGTCTCTATGTATCTCCATGGTTCTCCACGTATAGTCATGTGACTCTATGTATATCCATGTGTCTCTATGTATCTACATGGGTCTCTATGTCTATCCATGCGTCTCTATGTCTATCCATGTGTCTCTATGTCTATCCATGTGTCTTTATATATCTCCATTGGTCTCTATGTAGATCCATGTGTCTCTATGAATACCCATGGGTCTCTATGTATGTCCATGGGTCTCAATGTATATCCATGGGTCTCTATGTATCTACATGGGTTTCTATGTATCTCCATGGGTCTCAATGTATATCCATGGGTATCTCTGTATCTCCATGGGTCTCTATGTATCTCCATGGGTCTCCATATATATCCATGTGACTTTATGTATCTCCATGGGTCTCTATGTATCTCAATGGGTCTCTGTGTATATCAATGGGTATCTATGTATATCCATGGGTCTCTATGTATCTCCATGGTTCTCCACGTATAGCCATGTGTCTCAATGTATATCCATGGGTCTCTCTGTATCTCCATGGGTCTCTATGTATCTCCATGGGTCTCCATATATATCCATGTGACTTTATGTATCTCCATGGGTCTCTATGTATCTCAATGGGTCTCTGTGTATATCAATGGGTATCTATGTATATCCATGGGTCTCTATGTATCTCCATGGTTCTCCCAGTATAGCCATGTGTCTCAATGTATATCCATGGGTCTCTCTGTATCTCCATGGGTCTCTATGTATCTCCATGGGTCTCCATATATATCCATGTGACTTTATGTATCTCCATGGGTCTCTATGTATCTCCGTGGGTCTCCACATATCACCATGAGTCTCTGTGCATATCCATGGGTCTCTATGTATCTCCATGGTTCTCCATATATATCCATGGGTCACCATGAGTCTCTATAGGTCTCTATGAGTCTCTATGGGTCTCTATGAGTCTCTATGGGTAGCTATACGTAGCGTGGAGCTGGCCACTCAGCCGCCCCCCGTTGCGTGCCGTGCCGGCCTTCATCGGCGCCACTCGCTTAACGGCACTTGCCCCAACAGCTTGTTCAGCCTATACGGGGTGGTGGTGGTGGTGGTGGTGGTGGAACTTTGCCTTTGTGACCTGCTGCCTCATATGGAACCACACGCGTGGGACATCGACGGGGGGATACTTGGCACCAGCATCTCGAGAGCGTCTCTCACCTGTGGACGCTGATGGTGGACGTGCAGATCCTCTTGCGGCCGGGGCTGCGGTTGCCGGTAATCCGGTTCCGGCTGCTGTGGATAATGGTAGCGCTCCTGGTCCGGCGGCTGGGGGGTGCGGTGAGCCGATTCCGGATGATGCGGGTGCTGGTAATCCGGTTGCCGCGGGTGGTAGCTGCCCGGTTCCGGCTGCTGTGGGGTAAATTGGCCCGGTTCGGGTTGGCGTGGGTGTGCGTGGTCTGGTTCCGGCTGCTGTGGGTGCCGGTAATCCGGATGATGGGGGTGAAAGTTATCCGGCTCCGGCTCCTGCGGTGTGAATTGCTCCGGTTCTGGCTGCTGTGGGTGCCGGTAATCAGGATGATGGGGGTGATAGTTATCCGGCTCCGGCTCCTGCGGTGTGAATTGCTCCGGTTCTGGCTGCTGTGGGTGCCGGTAATCTGGATGATGGGGGTGATAGTTATCCGGTAGCGGCTCCTGCGGTGTGAATTGCTCCGGTTCTGGCTGCTGTGGGTGCCGGTAATCTGGATGATGGGGGTGATAATTATCCGGCTCCGGTTCCTGCGGTGTGAATTGTTCCGGTTCTGGCTGCTGTGGGTGCCGGTAATCTGGATGATGGGGGTGATAGTTATCCGGTAGCGGCTGCTGAGGGGTGAATTGCTCCGGTTCCGGCTGCTGAGGGTGGCCGAAATCCGGTCCGGGCTCGCCCTCCCGGTGGTGGTCGGCGCCTCCGGGCCGCCCGTCGTAGTTCGGGCCGGGCCGTCGGGGCCGCTCCTCGGCCCCGTCGCCGTACTCAGGCTCCTCGGTGTTGTACTCCTCCTCCTCTTCCTCCTCCTCGTCGTCGTCGTCGTCATCGTAGCTCAGGTCGAAGGCCCCCGGGGTCGGCGGTTCCGCGTCCACCTCGGCCGCCTCCACGCCGGAGAAGGCCGAGCGCGAGCTGCCGATGTGGAAGGCCCACACGCCGCGCCGGCCCGAGTTGCTGCGCCTGCGATCCGCGGGGGGGGGAGGAACATTCAGGCGAGAGTCGCGAGCCGCGGCGTTGACGGGAACTGGACACGGCACCACGCCGGGGGTGACGTTAGCGGGAAACCTCGTTATGATCATCACCCGGCGCAGACACCGGGTGAGGATCATAACTCCCCTCTCGCCTTCCGATGTGAGGAATCCGCTGGAAGCTGTGCACTTTTTTTAACCATCGAGATTGTCAACTCACCCTGCCTTAGAGCTGAGCGTCGTCGTGCTTAGTTTTGTTGTCCTCCGCCCGCCCGCCCGCCCGCCCGCCCGCACCTCCGATTAGCACGGTTGGCTACGTATGGCGCGAAAGAAGTTCAACATGCGCGCGTTTCATTCCCCTCTCTCAGTCATGGCCCTTCTTCATAGCAGAGAGGTTATCTCTCTTTCTCTGGTCACAGTCCTTAAAATGTAAATAAGTTCAAAAACTTTTGAGTAGTTGTCCTGGTCTGATGCAGCATATATTGTGTAAGGATGCACAGGCATTTTATGCATTTAAAACAAACATTTACTAAAGTAAAACATTTTATAAATCATGAATTGGAGGTGGCCGGGTGGCCCAGGGTGGTCAGACCCTGGGTTCGAATCCCAGGTTCGTGATTCAACCCCAGCTCTCGGCCGGGTCATCCGATGACCACAATACACACAAACACAAAGATCCCCTTGAATAGCCGAAGTAGACATGTAGAAGCAAATGTGTATGTATGTTGAACTTCTCTCGCACCGTACGTAGGAGCAAGTGCTGTTAGCGAGCACTCACGAAGGCCGGCACGGCACTCGAAGGGTGTTGCGTGGCCAGCACCACGCCCCGCCGCCTTTGTCTTCCCAGTTTTGATATTTACACGCCGCGCAAGGCACTCATTTCAGGCGACCTATGGGCTGAGTCATTACATACAGTAGGCTACTGTACACACACAGTGCCAACAATATCGGCGTGCTCACCGTGACCCACCCCCCCCCACGGGCGTAACCTCTTGACCCCCCACTTTACCCCCCCCCCCTCCTCCTCCCGGCAAAATCAATCAAAAATAAATTGACGCGAATTATTAACGACTTAGCGCGAATCTTGCTCCGGCCTCCACAGCCCCCTTCTCAATGTCGCTGGCGGGCAAATGGCATAACAAAAAAACGACATTGGCAAAAACGGAGAAAAATAACAACTACGACAACGGTAGCACTGTGTAACGTGATGTTTGTCCCTGGGTAGTAAGTGTTACTTTTTAATTGCTTATGCCTAAAAAGTATAGAAAATGGCAATTATTCCCCACAAACTTTGCTTTTGTGATCATTGAAAATAGGTACATTTCAAAATATCACTGTGCTGGTCACAGAGGCAAAGATTTTGGGGGAATAATAGCCATTTCCTGAACTTTTGAGGCATAACGAATTAAAAAATAACACCTACTACCCAGGAACAAAACTAGTTTTCGCTACAGTGCAGAGATAAATCTAAATATAAATCCGCGCCGCGAAAAAAAAAACACATTCTCGCGGCGCTTTGTGGCCATAAGCGATGCAGGCGGCAGAGCGGGGGGGGGGGGGGGGGGGCACGGTGGGAGATAGAACCGGAGAGCTGTGGCGTTCCACCAGAACGTAGCCCCTGGGAGTCACTCGCGAACGGAAGCGCCGAGGAAGGGGAACTTCCCCGGACCTTCATCCCCCTCTCCGGGGGGCCAAGAGCCCCAAGGACGATTTTTTATCCGTCAAAAGTTCCGTAAGAAATGTGCGGAAGCACGTGGTGCTGCGACCGAAATAAATCTCTCGGTGGAATTGACCGGCGATGATGATGATGGTGGTGGTGGTGGCGGCGACTGCCTCCATAGAGTGCTGCTCGCTAACAGCACTTGTCCCAACAGTCTGTCAAGGCTATACGGGGCATCTCTTTCTTTGGTGGTGACGGAGAGCGACAGACAAGAGAGGGAAGGCGCACGGGAGGATGTCCTTCCATCGTTGTGATCAGCTCGCGTGCAGGTGCCAGGCGGATTATCACTTTGCAGGATACGGAGGAGATGCCGGGAGCGTTGGCGAAGGCACCCTCCATCCAGCAGTGGATTGCTCGTGGCCCATGCTGACCCTCCATCGATTGAATGAGTTATTATTATTGTTACGCTGCAAGAAATCGATTCGAGAATTCGCGTTTTTCTCATTGCGTTTTGTTTCGTTTTTCTGCTTTAACTGCAACTCCGTCGCGAGTCTCGACCACCGCATTCACCCTTTATACAGTTATATATCTAAAAGTATAAAATGTATCTGAACTTTTTTTTTCTTTTACCAGGTAAGGCCTCACTGAGCAAAATATCTCTTTTTCAGACGCGACCTGGCTATCACAAATGATAGCTCAACGAAGTGGCTTATAATGTGGAAATTCATAGCAGCCAAATACTCCAAAGACGTGATGTTGATTCTAAATTTGAAGGGGGAAACCAAGAGGCCGTAGAATAAAATCCACTCGACCACGGACAGAGACATGCAAACTCCAAATATACAGCTGTCGGGGTCGTGATCGGACCCACAACCAGCTGTATACGAGGCGAGGGAGTTAACATCTCGCTACCACGGCACCCCAATAGCTATGGGACACCGGAAGAATGGGTTACCGTGGCTATGACTGCTCAACCCGAGCTAGCAATGCCGTGATAGTTGCATTGCCCTTCGTGCTGTTTTGCCGGTTTCCATTATTCTCGGGTCTAGCACCTGCGGCGAGACAAGGCCATTAAGGAGGCTGCAGTGGTGGTGCAGGCCAATCAGTTTCAAGGACGATGCGAACACGAGTTTCAAAAGCCGTGTTTGTTTGCATTGCCCTTGTACTGTTCGCCTTTTTGGCGTTGTTCCCTGGCCTAACACCGGCGGTGAGACAGGGGCCATGGAGGTGGCTGTAGCTCTGGCGTAGGCCAGTCAGTACCGAGGACAACGTGTCGCATTATCAAAGCACGTGCGCGTGTTTTAGGGGCCGTCCATAAATGACGTCACGAGATTTTGGACGATTTTTGACCCCCCACCCCACCCTCGTCACACGGGGTCACAAAAAATCAGACCCCCCCTCAAATATGACGTCACAAAACTCCCCCCCCCCCCCCCCCCCAAAAAAAACATATTACAAATCGCTTTCAACTATTGTCATTGTAGTGCGTATTTAATGTGGCGCTGCACTTTGATGTTGTAGGAGTGTTGTTATAACAATTAGTGTTGTTATAACAATTCAATATTTATTTAAAGTTGCGCATTTTTATGTGACGTCACATTTCTCAACCAACCCCCCCCCCCTCGTCACACATCGTCACAAATGTCTGACCCCCCCCCCCGCAGGTGCGTGACGTCATTTATGGACGGCCCCTTACCGCAAGGGTGACGTGTGGTCAGCGGCGTAGCAATCAGCCCACCGATTGAGGCAATCGGTCAAGCGGGGAGCCCCCAATGATGGTGAAAACGAATTTCATGGTTGTTGTCAAGGGCGGCCGAACTCGTAGCTTTGGCAAACGCGGGGGTGGTAGCGACTCGCGATTTATGATGGTAAGGCCCGAGCGTCGAGGGGAAGGGAGCAAGCTTCACCCGTCGCGGAAAATAATAAGACTGCAGGAGGTGATTAAGATGAACACGTTGTAGGCTGTCGCGACCAATATCATCCATAATACAGGTGTTTTTGGGTGACATCGCGTAAATATATAAAAGTGTCGTTTATATATTGACGCGATCGAACCCAACAACAACAACAAAAACCTGTATTACGGTGTTTAAGATGTTCGAACACCGAACGGACGCCTCTTGCAAGCCATCATAAAAGTGCAGGACCCAAGTTCAATTCCCGGCCAGGGCTAACGTTGCTTGTGCTGCCTTGCCCAAGCTTGATTAATGGGACTTTTATCATTAATGTAGTTAACATTTATGCTATCATATTTTCGTGGCCTGCTTACCGTTTTCTCAAATGTTGCACTCGAATAGATGTTTTTTTCTGTATTTTTTGTTTTGCCGCTGTAACTTGCTCACCTGGACATATCTTGGGAAGGGGGGGGGGGGGGCGAAGAGCTTCATAGCTCATCGGATTCCTCAGAATCAGAATCAAAATAAATTAAGATACTGATTTTGAGAGATTATCCGAACTGATTTACTCCCCGCCTTGAGACATCTGCGCAATAACCAGCACGGTCAAAGTATAATCAATCTACCCCCTGATACAGCATGGAGGAGGGGGGTGGAGGGGGTTACAGAAGGCTGGGAGTTCCATTCCTAGTTGGAGGGGTGGAGGGGGGTGGAATTGCATACCACACAAAGTACGCACGCACGGGAGGTGAGCGCGCGCGTGAACGAGTTGCCTTCACGCCGAGAGCGGATCGGTGCGTGAACGAAACGGTGAGGGGGGGGGGGTGGTGGAGGGGCGATTGGGAGAGGAGGCAGAGGGATGACCCAGTTGCTGATGTGTAAAGGGGGGAGGGGGGGGGCAGTGGAGACTGAGAGGTGGACAGAAGGTAGACACAACAACAACAGCGGTCGTGTGTGTGTGTGCGTGTGTGTGTGCGCGTGCGTGTGCGCGTATGTGTCTGCGCGCGTATGTGTGTGTGAGTGTGTTTGTGTGCGTGTGTGCGCGTGCGTGTGTGTGCGTGTGCGTGTGTGCGCGCGTGTGTGTGCGTGTGTGTGCATGTGTGTGTGCGTGTGTGTGTGCGTGTGTGCGTGCGTGTGCGTGCGTGTGTGTGTGCGCGCGAATGTGCGTGCGTGTGTGTGTGCGCGCGTGTGTGCGTGCGTGTGTGTGCGTGTGCATTTGTGTGTGCGTATGTGCGCGCGCGTGTGTGCGCGTGTGTGCGTGTGTGTGTGTGTTTGTGTGCGTGTGCGTTCGTGCGTATGTGTGCGTGTGTGCGCATTTGTGTGCGTATGTGCGCGCGTGTGTGCGGGTGTGTGTGTGTGAGTGTGTTTGTGTGCGTGTGTGTGTGTGTGCGTGTGCGTGTGTACGTGCGTGTTTCGCTGTAATTGGGGTGTGTGTAG